TTAAATTCCTCAATGCAGCGGTGGCTCCAAAGCCCTTGTACTTGGTGGGATCTGGAGGAGACCAGGAGCCCGAGAGCAGTGCAGGTAAGCCGGGATCCAAGCGCAGTCTCAGCGTGGTGGTAACGGGGAGGTCATCCCCACAGCTCATGTGCACCTGAGTGATCTGCCCTGCATGGGGCCACGTTGTGCTCGCCTGATTCAGGGCTCTCTGGGCTGAAAGAATTATTTTTAACAAGAGATTAACTACAGCAGTGCTCAGGCTTCTGGTCACCTCAGCCATTCGTAACTTCAGTGTGAAATCAGTAAGAGCTCGATTTCCTTAACCCTTTTTATACAACCTTGAATGAAGGTGATGTAAGAGCACCTTGTGAGTGATGAAAGACTGGACAGGACTACTCCCAACATCTGCTGCTCCGCTTCCACCAGCTAAGGGACAGAGCAGGACCTGCTTCTGGCATCTCCTTCCTCCAGCTGCACCCAGGCCGGACCCCAGCAGAGACTTTGGGATTCCAGCTCCAAAGCATCTGGCTCCCTCTTGTGCTCCCCGTGTTTATGGCAGGAGAAGTCGGATGGGACAAAGCCTGGCTGGTGGAACCCGCTGGGGGAGATGGTCCCCGCTCATCAACTCGTGTCCAGCCCAAGAAGCCGATCACATCAGTAGCTGTTAGTCCAGACCTGACCCAACATGGACCATCTCCATATTCTGGTACCCTTGAGCCAGGAAATACCAAGCTGTTCCTGGAGCACGGCTAGAGAATAGGGTGTGCGGCTCCATACGCACTACGTGCAGCCTGCTGCTTATAGCTTGATCGGGGATGAGTTGTGACTGTCAGCCATGGCTTCTACCTTGGAGAAAATCCACCCTTCTTCTGCACAATCCGGTCCAAGCGACAGCGCTGCCATCTGTACGTACCGCTCTCAGCATGCGATGTGTTTCCTCCTCCGCAGTGTCAGGAATTTAAGGAGTATGAAAGGATTTCACCTGTACAAAGTTAATAGAACTTCATTTTTCCAGTATTTGATACAGCTTTTTTTCTACTAAAGTACTCTGTGTAGCAGCTCCTGATCCATACTGTTCCTGTTACAAAGGTGGTAGCAGTAACGAGTGGGAAAATCCACCAGAAAAATGGCTTTAATGCAATGCTCCAGCAGCAGTTGCTGCTGCCATTAGAGGTAGTATTTCTTTTTAACTGAGTTACTTTTAGGAGATTTATTTAAAGGTCATTAATGGGTGTCAGGAGACAAAGGAAAGCTGTGTTAGGTGAAGCGGAAAAAGGGACTTGTTTTCCAGCAGATGTTCTGCAACTATCTACAGCCAAGGAAAAAGTAAGTACAACCAGACCAGGCTCTGTCAATTCTGAATTTTTGCCGTTTTGACTCAGTTTTTCTGTTTTGTTTTGTTTTTTAAATCATAATTAAAATTAATCGTTAATTTTTTATTTCTCTTAGCCAAGTTGTCTGTTTATCTTCAGGCAGCCTGCTGCAGAAATCAGGGAAGATTCCCATCTTTTAATGGTAGGTGAAAATGGTAAAGTATCTACATGTGATTTCACTGCTCTTAGTTTAAAAGAAAGGGATGAAAAAGGTCCTTTCATCAGTAACAGCAGCAGATTGAAGGGTAGAAGCCCCAAGGACAAGAAAAGAGTTATTTTGAATTAAATTGGATAGAAGCCACGCATCCTGTAAACACCCACAAGCCACACTAAATGCAAGGGAAGAAGTCACCGCTGAAATGTTGTGCAATGGAGAAGGAATTTCCCCAGCATTAGCTTGGCCCTGCTCTACAGCGGCTGTTCTCTTGCACAAGATGTGCAACAAAACAGGAACGTGTGTGTGTTTATGGGAGCCTCTCGAGAGCCGAACCGGAGCCAAACGAGAGCCTCAGCTCCTCCGGATACACAGACTGCTGAATTAATCTCCTCTCTCCTGGTGGGAGTACGTCCCCATCCGACCCCAGTGGGCTGCAGGTACTGACTCACCGACCACCCTGAGCTCACCCTCGGCTGATGACTATTGTCTTTTTTCATCTGGATTTTATTCTTCCAAGTCTCCAGTGTGGCCAGATGAAGATGCAAGCCTAAAAGTTGTCTTAAAAAAAAAATGTAGGAAAAGTAAATAGCATTACTAGCAAATAACTCATTCTTTAAGTAAGATATGTGGCTCCAAAAGTAGCAAGTACTTCTTCCTTAAGAAAATGTCACTCTGGCATTGCAATCTTTCAGGAGACGTGACAGGTCTTTTGTAGTATGTGCTTTTTTAACAAATGCACAGAGAAAGTTTCAATGCAACTCAAAGGTGGCAGAGGCAGTTTTGATGACAACAATTAAACTTGCAGGAAGGGCTTTTCTCCTAATGGAAGAACCTCCTTCCCGTCGGAATTGAATACATCTTTTACATTGCATAATTGGAGGCACAGGTACAATGGGGAGTAAAGGAGGCTTTGTCCTCCCTTTGCCACGCTAGAGCAGCGCTTTGTGTCAGCGATGGCGAAAGGACTCCAGTAAATCATTCTTCCTCCGTCCGCCTCCCCCATCCCCTCTGGTCAACAAGGAGATTGCTTTTGCCTCTAAATTGTATAATATTTTCCTGCTAAAGGATGTCAAATTATCTCTCGAATCCTCAGGATTTCAGGAGACAGAAAATGGCGTTTACCCCACTAACTGTAGTGGGGTGCTGCCAGGAACTGGGCTCAGATTCTGCTGCTGTTTGTGACCTGTTTTTTATTTTTTAGGCTTTGTCAGTAGGAGTTGTGCCTTAAGTGAAAATTAGGCTTTGTATTTTTACAATGTGAACTGTTATGTATTCCCTTCTGGTGTAGGGCAGCAAGCGTCGGCACAGCAATAAGGACAAATATTTTGTTGAGGTCCCATGAGCAAATTATCTTTTCAAATTAAAAATACAAACCTGATGCTGAGAATACTGAGTCAGCAGCGATGGTTTAGATCTAGGAATAACATCTGATATGGTTTCCCAGTTATCTTCCAATATACACAAATACAAAATGCCTTTGTCAAGTGGAGTTTAATAGATAGAGCAATGCTTTGCTTGCCATAAAAATAACTGTGAGAACAGGAGCTGGCAAGTCTCTTACCCCACCTAATACTGATTTGTTTTGTTGTATTTGTTTAAGTATTCATGGTAATGACAAAATTGGACTTTCTTTTTTTGCTAAACATCTATTGTTTTCCATGGCATCCGCATCGCGAAGGAAGGAACAAATATGAGTTTCACTTATGATGTTATTCTCCTGAAATGCTGTTTATATTTTACAGCAAACACTAGTCTACTCTGGTGAATCACAGCTTTTTTTCCTGCTACAGAAAGCAGGTTCCTCTGTGGGGTTACATCTTAGAGTAGCTCAGTCAGAGGCCATACGTGCCACAGCCTCTCTACTATCACTAGTAAAGACCCTGCGCTGCCCTGCCCTTGCACAGCTACAAGGACCCATCAAAGGTGACAAAGGTGGGGTGTTTCTGGCCAATGCCACTGCAAATCCAACATGAAAATTAGCCCTGGAAAGCCTGGAGCGTCACAATAGCTACTATTTACTAATCCACCCCAGACCCAGATCCCTATTTGCTAGGCACTCCATAAACAAAACAACCAAGGCAAAGCTCTTTTTGTCTAAAGAAATGACATCCTCAGTATGAGACCAGAGACAGCAGATGGGAGAGCTCCGGGAAACAATGAGACAATGCTGGCTGGCGGGGGAGAAACGGCCCCAGCACTCACAGCCGAGCACTGCCAAGGACGTGGTGGCAAAGGGGAGTTCGGTGAGTGAATCAGAAGAGGAGCTGTTAGAACTGAACCAGGATTCAACAATAGAATTTTATTCAACTGTGATGTTTTCAAGACTTTAAGTTCTTGACTGAAAATCGTTCAGTAAAAAACGTCTTGCTTGCGAGGCAGCGAGACCTGAATGACCCCTGTGCCAGTGCTGCAAACCATTCTGTTGTCAAGTTTGACTCAAAAAGCGACGCTCAGCCAGTAATAACCAGTCAGGATTCAAACTAACAGCAGTGCCACCAGTTTACCAGTCTAGCCCTAAACATTTATTGAAGTGAATAGGAAATACTAATGCTATGAATCAGAAAAAAATGAGGCTCTTCAGAAAAGAGAAGGGAAGACCAATCAGGACACTAGAAGAGAGCACTAATTTCATTAAAGGATTATCCTTCATAGAGGATTTTCTCTTTTACAAGGTTGAAAAACTTCCCATCTTTGCTTAAGCTCCATGGGGAGTACCCAAAACAGCCGGGCGCTGGAGAGCTGTCTGCGCTCCACGGGGAGCAGCGGAGGGGCTCTTCCAGGGCCTGACTCCAGTCGTCCACCTTCAGCCCCATCCCCGAAAGCCCTTGGTGAACCCTACTGGCTACAAGGGAACTTGGAAGAGATTAAGCCTTTAAATACTACTCCCCTCCTTCCAATTCAGCAAAGTACTTAAGCTCATCACCTTTCCACTTTGACGGTATATTTTAATACACAGCATTGGCACTAGTTTAACAACTTTCTCTTTTGTGGGCGTAATTGCAACGGATAATCAGTCATGACAAGAAAATGCCTAAAGCACTTCTTGGGCTTTAGGTTTGGGCTTCCAATCAAAAGTCTGGGGGTTGGTTAAAAGAACACGGACACGGTATTTTGTAGAACTAATTTCTTTAATGGCATAAAAACTTAAAACTTTTCCTGCACGTAAGGCAAAAGAGATGGTGCTCTGTATGTTTTGACAAAGTATTTCAAACACACCGATATCACAAAATAAAAGTTGTTTTCTAAATTGGTTTTATAAAAAGCCTAAATTAGGATAGGCATTTGGACTCCTGTAGTGGATATAGAAATGGATTTGCAAAACAGAATCTGATTCAAAAGTCTAAATGCCCCAAGATTTTCACATCAAAACTTTGGATACATTTTCATGTCTAAGTAACATGCTGTCAAGGGATGCTGCAGATGTCGTTACAGCTGGGAAAAAAACCACGTTATTGCTCCTATGAAAACAAACTCACTTATTTTCTACTGTCAAGAACTTCCAATGCCATCCTCTAAGGTCCTTCTCAGGACATGGCAAGCCTGTAAATTTAATAAGCATCCCATCCCTTCAAGTGTCAAAGCTCTGTCTTCTTCATGCACCTCAATGACAAGAACTTCCTTCTGCAGATAAAGGCAACAGAAAAAGGCCACCATTCCTGTTTCCAGTGGTCATCTTGCACAAAGAAACATTAACTCAACGCAGTATTTCATATCAGGTTGACTCACCCAGCTTTGTCAGTCTGACTTCTTATGCTAATGAGAACTCTCTAAAAAATTCTCTTTTCTCATCACATGTTCCCTGACAGCAAGACAGAATGAGTGTACATGTGCCCAAAATGCAGCTAACAAAAGGAAAAAAATGGCTGTAACTGGACAGGAGAGGCCTAATTTCTTCAGACTCTAAGCTCACAAGAGATGAGATGCAGTGACAGATCTGCAGTGACATAGAGGTGCGCAGGTGGCACCAGTACAGTCTGGTGCTGGAGAAGCACAATGTGTAAACAACATGAACACTAACTTTCTACCTTGTTTGAAACAGGCTCTGAATCTTATTCCTCACTTTCTTTGTAAATTCAAAAATTTCAGCAGGATTTCCTACAACATCAATGTGAGTATCATAAGGAATGATCAAAACATGAGGGTAATGGGGTTTTAGATTTTCACATGCCCATTTATATCTCTGCTTCTCACCTCTGGTGTGCTCCTGAAAGTAGATCCTTTCTTTACGTAAAGTGTTATGGAGTTTTATAGACTGATTTTCAATTTTCTCTTTGACTTTTAATACCTGTCCAGCATCAGACCTATTTCCAATATTCTTAATGTATACTGTAGTTATATCACCATCAGTGATGTCAGAAATTACAACATTGCCATTTACTAGGAATGTCCTGGAAAAAAAGTACTTCATGTAGTGATATATATCTGTGTCAAGAACAACCACTTGTTTTTCCCCATCTCCACCATCAACAAAATTACTCATCTCTGTGGTAAGTCTCTGTTGCTGTAGCCTCCTCCTTGGTCTCTGATGGGACTTGCTTTCTCCTCTTTTGTCCTTCTCTGAAAGTGATTTTGCTTTTAGTAAGAGAAAGTCTCTTAGCAATTTGATTGCTGGAAATGACCCTTGAACAGAAATATGCCCATTGGATTGCAAAGGACCAAAGCTTAAAGCTGTGCTCTTCTTTTTAATTTCTTGTATCAGATCTTCTAAAACAAACTGATCTTTGAAAATAGACATATCGAGGACAGATGTGACAGAGCTGAAGACCTAGAATTTTGAATTAGAAAAGTTAAGTAATGGTTAACATAGTAATGGAAGTACAACTAGATAAATTATGAATGAGCTTACATTTTCACAGTAACGGGTTACTTTCAGTGGATAGTATCTGGACAGCCTCTTGTCTTCTAGTCGATGTTCATCCTTCTTTAGAACACTCTCTACAACTAAAGAGAAAGCCAGATTCACTTGTTGCACAGTAAGGTAACGCGTCATTGCCAGTCTGATGGCAGAACACTTCATGGGTGTTTTTCTCTTGATGCTTTCCCTCACAATTTTCCATACATACACACAAGTGATTCAATATTCTTGCTTAATATTTTATGTATTAGTTGAAATTGTTCAGAGAGACAGAAGCCTGTCTTCTTAGAACACTAATTGGCAGAGATTTATTCTGAAAAGCCTGACTACAAAAATCATATCTGTTATGCATGGTATAAATTTATTCCTAAAAACAAACATAACAAAACGCTTTGCACGAAGCCCGTTCAGAGTCACGACTTCAATGAACAGAAATAGAATCCTAAAACTTTGACTGACTAAAAGAGAGGTGTTAGTCTCCCAGTTCTATAAAATCCTAATACCAGTAAACAAATTAAAATAATTTGGTTTAGGGTTAACATTCTAGGGCTAATACTTTGGGGGATGGCTGTATTTACTATAGTACATTAATCTAAATACCTTCCTGATCTTCAAAAGTTACATATGCAACACCTTTTCTCCTTGTTGGATACATTACTTCTTCCACATCTCCACCGTTGTTCTTCGACATTTGGAAATGAATCATCAGTATGTCAGTCATGACATCATCGTGCAGAAGGCCATCTGGAACACCAGTGATGACAACTGTCCTTGCTGATTTAGCAGCTTGTGCTGTTGCCTGCGCACAGAGACATGGCACACTTGTAAATGCAAGGAGTACTGGTGACCTCCCGTAGAGGTTACCCAGATTCACCCTGACTGCTGAAATGACTCCCCTTCCTTTTGCACAGACAACATGCGTGTTTAGTAGGTAATTAAGAAGACTGCTGAAATCAGATTTCGGTGAATGCCAGACTCCCTCAGGCACCTTTACATTACTGCAGTAAAAAATGGCCTGACTCTTAAGCATAATTTACACCCTCTCAATATTTTCTTTCCTTAAAGCAGTAAAAATTAGAAGTAAATTTAACAGTTTCTCAAATGACAGGTCCAGTGTCACACTGATCAGGTTGTTTCCTCCGATTCTAATATTCAAAATTTGAAGAGAATGAAAAATTGCATGTACTGTTCAGTAAGGATTGTCTTTTCAGAGTGGAAGGGTCAGATTCAGACTGTCCTTACTTGTCAAATTCATGAGAGCTGGGATCTAGGGTTGTGCTCTGACTCATCTCTCTCCACTTATTAAATGGATAACCTTGTTAAATTGGAAGAACATAATCCCAGCCATCTGAGACTCGCAGTGCGTAAAACAACTAACTACACACATGATTTTCATCAGAGCCAAACCTCCCAATGCAGCAAACATGAAATCCATCCTAAATAGGATTTGCATTCATGTCTTGTTAAGAAAAGCGTATTTTCTTTCCGTTCTTACTACACAGACATAAACAGTAATATTTCATTGGGAATATCATGGCAAAATTACTGTAAATGGTGGAACACCGAGTAAATTTTGTTAACAGTTCATTGACTTTTTGGAAGAAAGAAAATAATTTAGTATGTCTGCATGGCAGCGTTCATGGGAACGAACTGTCAATAACTTCAGAGCGACTGTACTCGAGGTCAGTCACTCCATCTAAATTCTTTAGGCTTCCCTTACAAAGTCTCTTCTGGACCTGGGCTGCATAAAACATTAGGGCCAGCACAGCAGTTACAAAGCCTGCAGAATGTGCCGCCGGGGGCGAATGCTTCGTTGACGTGCGTCGAAAGCCTTGTGGACCACCACCGCAGTGTTTCTGAAGGGAGTGAGGAGACAGATTAAATGAGACTGTGCAACCATGCAAGCTTTTAATTCACGAAGACGTAAGGCCTTTTTTTATCACCCATCAAATTTAAAGAGCCAGGAGCTTTAATTATATTAGGCAATTATTTTGGTGGTAATGTTCGTGTGAAAGGAAGTTTCTGCACTAATGAGACAACATGAAGAGAATATAAACAGGGTGCTTCCGAGATTGACGGAGCTTTATGCAGGATTTTCTCACGCTTCACACAGCCAATGCGGCCCGTGCACGAGCGGGAGCGCTCAGCTGCCAGACAGCATCTCGCACCTTGCCAGCTGGTATTTTGGAACAACACCCATGCCTGCTATTGGGGTTAGACAAAAAAAAAACAACCCATGAACGTACAGTTCGGTTTGAGCTGAATCACTTATAAGACAAGCCGGCGTTCGGTGGCTGCTGCCAGGCAGATAACGCGGAGCCGCCGAAGGCCAGGCCGCGCGTTTTGCTGGTTTTTTGGCCAATCTGCTACGCGGGTCGCCGCTGGCGAGAGGTCGGATGTGAAGAATTCCCCGTAGACCCCGCCGGTTCTCAGTGTTATTAAAAAATGCAAACGTTATCACTACTGAAGGGGGGAAATCAGACCTGTTGCTACCACTAACTGACTGGGGGGCCAGGACAGCAGGCCGCGGCGGAGCGCTGCTGTCCGAGTGCCCGGTATTTATTTATTTCTTCAGCTCAGGGACTGAGGGAGAGGCGGCCACGATTCGCTGCCTTTGTTCCCCTCGCCGTTACTTTTAACTCTCCGCCGTTTCTAACGAGCGGTGCGAGGAGAAGGCCCCTCTTCCCGCCCCGCCTGACGGGACCAACCCGCAGGCCCGGGGCGCTTCCCCTGTGAGGGAGCTCCGGCGGCGGGAACCGGCCGGCGGGAACGGCCGGGCTCTCCCCCGGCCTCACGGCAGCGCATCCGCCATTCCCCGGAACCTCCCGCCGGGAACCGGCCCTTCCCCTGTGGACGGCGGGTGGGCGATCCTCCCCTCACGGCCCTGCTCGCCCCCTCCCCCCCCTCCCCGCCCCGGCCTCAGGCACTTGCCATGGCTTTCGCCGGCGTCCCGGGGAGCGGGCGGGCTCGTCCTGCCCCGGCCCGGCGGTGAAACCGAAAGAGAAACGGCGGGTCCCGCGTTCCCGGAGCCCCGCGGCGGGAGGGGACACGGGACGGGGCACCTCCTCCTCCGCCGCGCCGCCCCACGCCTCGGGGAAGGTCTTGGAAGAAGCAATACCCCCGATTTTCACTCACATTTCGTGGCAGGAACCCTCCCCGGCCCGGCAAAGGCAACGTACCCTGGTTAGCCCACCGCCTCCCGGTGCCCCTTCGGCGTCTCCCCGGGCACCGGCAGCTGTAGCCGTCCCGTCCCCAGGGCAGGGCTGGCTGGAGGATGCGAGACTCGAGGTTTGGCTCACGGTGGAAGCTGCAGCGATGAAAATCTGAAGTATTTGTACGTAGTCCGGGCATAAAAAAAAAAAAGTCACAGCTGTTCTCCAAGCTGCCAGTCAAAGGTAACTTCACCCCAGGAGGTGGGGGGGAAAAAGGGCATTGCCATTCACAGGAACATCGCCTGAATTCTGTATTCTTGTTTTTCATCGTTAAAACTGTTGTCCGGCCTTTATGCAGCACCGCTGTTGCTTTAAACGGTACCATCAATTCGTCAGAGAGGACACCGAGACATTCACAAATACTGTCTTAAAAAGTTGCTTCAAATCTCACCTTGATTTTATACACTTTAAACCTGTAGCTTCTCACTACTCCCGCACACTGTGATACCTTATGAGAATTTTAAACCTTTTCTTTCTTAAGGCTTTACTTCTCAACATTTATCAGTGAGGTACGATTAAAATTCATGACATTTTTTACCTTCATCAGGTTTTCCCCCCCTTTCTTTTTTAAGGCATCTGATCTTATCAACTTTTTAAGACTGCTACATGCAGAAGTAGGCAATCTCCATAAATACTCTGGTACTACTCCTTTTTTTTGTTTAATTTCATAATTGTCAGGTAAGCAATCCATGCCTTTGCATGCACTAAACAGCAAGAGGTGCTACAGTCACATGTATCTCTCCCAACAGTAAATTCAAAATCAACTGTGGTGCTAGTACCCTTTCAGTTTCCGATATTTAACCATATCTATTGCCTACTAACAGTTTCTTTTGAATAATAATACCTGAGGTATATTCGTAGTGCTCTTCCTGCATACCAAGATGTCAAATACTATGAAAATAAGTTATTTTCAATGTTAGACCCACGCTACTTTGAAGTTAAGATTATTGTTGCCAAACCGTTTCAGCCCCCAAGGGCAGCAACTAAAAAGGACCACAGCAGAAAAGAAAAAACATTCCTCCTTGGAATTTCCATTTTATTTCAAAGGTCTTTTAGAATGAGAACTGGAAGGATGAACTGGAATCAAAAGGGTGATTTTACATGCTGAAAAATTAAGTTGCCCTAAACCCTATACGCCTTTTTCCAGCTGACCCCTCTCTACAGACCCTCCCAGAGCCAGCAGCCGGGCCAGTCACCTGCACCAACACAGATACCTCAGACACAGCGTCCACCATCGGACTGTTTCCCCAGCATTCTTAGAAAGCAATCTGGTTTAGATACAGAATCATCTCAATTCTTAACTGTAATATTTTAAAATAAGCAAAACCATGAACAAAAATGAGGAAAAATGTAACTGTAGAAACAAGTATCAAAACCAAATAAACCAGGCTATTAACTTAGTGGAAGCTCAGCAGAATTTGCATCAGATCCTAAGAGAAGTAAGAGCATTGCGACAGATAAAAGCAGCATTACTGCTATGTCATTTCTTTATAAGAACTGCCTTATAGGCACTATTTCCTGAGTAAATCTGTGGTGGTTTTGCACTCTCCCTTTTTATATTTTAATTTTATGAAGAATTTGATAATGTGGATATTATGAAATTACAGCATAACTCTTTTCAGGTATTTGAGTTATGGTGGCACACAGCAGTCTCAGCAGGACTGGAGTTCTGTCTGAGCTACCTTCTGAAACTGTGGCACTTTAAAAAATGCAGGTCCGTGAAGATGCTTTTGATTGAGATTACATATGGCTTTTGTAACCAAAATGTAAGAAGGAATAGATTTATCCCACTTTGGAGTATGTGACCTATCTAAGATTTGCAAGATACAAAATCTGCAAATTTGCAGAAAGCCATCTTAGATTAAGTTTCAAGTGCTGGTAAAGACTTTTTCTACGACTTTAATTAGGAACCTCTGGAACGCCAAGCAGTGAGTTTTACTGAATTTCCATGCAAAGTCTGTGTCATTACACAAATCAGAATGACAGGTAGTTCCTCTTTTTCAAGTGTAATTTCAGAACATTAAAGCACAATGTCTCCGTAACTTCCTATGCCTCTCATGAAGCAAAACCTCAGAGCTTCATGAGTTCAACCTACAATTTCCTACATTCTAAGTATCCTCCTCAAACCAAACCCATGTTACACCTTTCGATACATATTTGATTTTCTCTATTTCCCCACCACTATTACTAGGCTTTTGAAAATGAATTTCAATCATGTCCTGTACACTTTCCTCGTCATCTTCCGTCTCTTCAATTCTTTTCAACAGAATGGTCTTCTTAGAAACCCCACAATAGAGCTATTGAGGAAAGAAAAACAAACTCCTATTACACATCAGCTGTTGCACGTACATCTAAAGGAACTCACAGATACTAGAAATAAACATATCCTTGATCAGATATGGCTAGGATCTTTGATTACATTTTAATACTTTGGACAGCGTGGTATATTTCTGTCACTGAAAATACCAGGAGTTCAGAACTCTGTCATACACTACGGAGTTCAATAGGCAATGCACCTAGCCTCCTGAACTGGTGTGTCCCACACACTGGATTTGGGGATCGCTGATGACTCTAGACAGCATCACTCCATAAAAATCCATGCCAATACATAATACACACCTGCAAAGAATGCTGTTGTATCTCATAAATGCACACACTCCAGTCAATGCTTTAATTACAAAGGCCTGATTATATACACAATGCTGACTTGATTACAATCTATTCATACAAAGTAGAAGACAATTTCAGTGAGAATATGATGAGCAAGCAGACTAGTGTTACCGGAAAAGAAGTCATTATTTGGGTTGAATGAATGAATGAAAAAAAAAAATGAATGAGCAAATGTTTCATAGAACAACAAGGGTCTCTGCTGAGACTATCAACACGGCCTCTCATTAGGGATGAATATGACAGTGCTTTGTGACTTGGAAAAACGTTGTTGTGTTTACTATTAACCTACTTCACAGACAATTCAGTATTTGCCTCCTGTCTAGCACAGACATTATGGTAAGTAATGATATAATTTGATCAAGGAAAGACATGCACACTCTTTTAAAATAAATTATAGCTTTCACACTGCAAAACCTAAGATTATAAGCAGAGCGCCATATTGCAGACTCACACTTGCTATTAAGTTCCACAAAGTGCATGACACAAAAGCTTCTGCAGTCCTCAGAACTGAAAATTCTGCCCATATCTCATATTTTCCACATATCTGTTCTATTTAGCGGTTAGCCTGGACTAGATTCTTTTACCTGAAACTTTTCCAAGTGTACGTCAGTGTTTGGGGAAACAGAAAGCCCATAGCACCTTCCGTTTACAAAGAAAGGATATTTAGTACATCTCGCCAAGCCATTAGCTGCTGTAATGGAGAATGAGAAAAAGAGGAGTATGAGTAATATAATCTAAAATGCATTTTGTAAGCATATCAAAGAACAGACTAATTTTTCTTATATGGATTTGGAAACTAATATATGATAGCACACTTGTAGATTCTTCATATGCATTTTGCAAAAAGTTTATTTGGCATTTCCAAAAAAGCAAAATCCTTAAATACCCACAAAAGCTTCTGAAATAAATCTAAAGCAGCTGCTCTAAATGGATGTGGCTCCACTGATCTTCATCAAATTTCATACAGTTGGGCAATCTGAATGCCTGTCTAACTTCATTGTCATGAAACAAGAGCTTAAATCAAACGCATTTTCCTAATTTTCTTTTTGCAATATGTGTCCAGCAATGCAAAGAAAAAATAGGGGTTTGACAAAGTTAAGAAAGAAAGAAAGCTCGCAAACTGCATATCAGGTCATGTTTGATCAAAAAGGAATATGATGAAATACTGCTTTATTTACAGATGTGTGGGTGAACCCACATCTTTTCCTGATCTACTTAACTCTCTGTGGGAAGAATTTGCTACATTCAGTGGTTAAGTAAACACAGAATGTAATATGGAATGGAATGTAACACAGAATGGACAATATGGCCTGTACATCTACCTAACGAAGTATTACATACTATACCTCCAGGTCTGAGGAATGTAATAACAGCTGTTCTAGACTGCTTGTCATAGTTCACATTTTCTACTTCTCGTCCTCCCTCTTCAGATTTGTAGAAATTCAGCTCTAATTTGTCTCTCATCCAGTCTTCAGGAATGGATAGCTCAGGTACTTCTGAAACATTGATCTTCTTTCCAGAAATAGTAACATGAAGCTAAAAAAATTAATTTTTTGTGAACTCTGTAACTGAAAACACCCAAAAAACTGAACTTAAAGCTTTTTAAGTACTGCAAGTTCGTATCTTTACAGTTTCATATCGCAGTTGATTACCTCAAACTTGACTCCCATTTCAAGTGTAAAAGGCTTCACTCTCACATCTGCTATTTTGCTGTCCAGGTTCACAGCATGCTTACCCATTTTTACCAGTCTCTGGGCAACTAAGGAAAATCACAAATTTTCAGACATGAAAAGCCTCATTTAATCATTATAAAACCAAAACTATTCCCCACTCTCTTAAGCAAAATCTCCTTTTGCATCAATAAAGAAGAAATAAATAACAGTTAGGCAACCAGATCCCACTACCCCTGTCTTCAGGCATGTCTACTTCCATAAAATCTCAGTGGTTATAGGCAACAGGTAAAATATCATACTATCTCTAGAGCAGTACAGAAAATATCCTTGGATGAAAACCACATATCGCTACCAGGTGCAGAGAATGCCTATTAGCAATGTTAGATTTTAGCTGAAAGAAATGAATCAGACACTAGTTTTGTATCTGGAATATACTTGCGTAACTGAGCCACCCAGCAAGCAGGCCCAGCCAGACTGCCTGCAGGCTCCTTGCAGGCAGGCACCAGGCTGTCCCAACAGCAAGCATCTCAGTGGGAAGCAGGCACGTTACAGACTGCACCATCCCTCTGTCGTCTCAGATCTACCCATCATCTGATGTGTACACTTAACCAACGTAACTGCTGTCAGAATAAGGTACTGCCCAGAGTAAAGAAAATAACCAAATTCTGCTGTCAAAACATTTTGACTCATTCTTGACAATACTCTGTGAGGTAGAAACATATTCCCAATTTCAAACACCAAACATTGTTTGTATTAGCTGGGAGCAGAAATCTGGTAATCCAACAAAAACATGCAGAGTGCTTGCAAGAATTTTTTTTCTACTGATTGGTATCATAATAGTGAAAGGTTCTCTGTATATTCTTTCTTTGGCTGTTGTTGATTTTTTTTTTTCCAAAACGTTTATGTACATCTTTTTCCTTTGGCAATGAAATACAACAGAGACATTAATTTTATACATAAAATATGTGTCATACCTTCTTCATCTTCAAAAGTAAGCAGTGCCTGGTTTTGATTCAGTCTGAATGGGAGTTTTGTAGTTACACCAAAAACACAGTGAGTATTCATATCTGCATAGTCATTCTTCATTTCTTCCATGTGACTGAACTTCATTTTCATTTCTGCTACCTTTTTTTTAATCTAATATTTTAGAATCAAGATAGGAAAAAAAATCATTTCTTAAATTTATTGCAGAACAGAAAAATGAATGGTAGTCTTTCCTTGAAGTGCTACCTGTATTTTGGTCTTCTTAAGTTTAATAGTCAGATTGAAGTCATGGCTCATTAAACAGGTAGAACTCTTCTAACTAAACTGACTAGTTGTACTTGTCTATTCCTGGGATTTTTGTCAATGAGGTGGGGTGGTTTTTTTCCCCTTTGATTAACTTTGAACTTAAACTTGACTGTACACAGTAAAAATTCAATTGAAGTCCACAGGGATTCCCACCTGCAGAAGTAGAATACTTTTGGTGTCTAAAATTTGCAAAATGCAAGTATCGGAGTCACTTGTGTTGCCATTTATTCTTGCCTAATTGCATCACTGCTCTACAGCAATGGGAAGTCTGCTAATGAACAGCCTTGTTTGTTGCTATCTTAGTAAAATAGGTAAGAATATCCACATATTTTATAACTAGGATAGATTAAAACTGTTCATGAAAATGTTGGTTGGGAAAGGCTGCTCTGATAGGCTTGAGGGAGTTTCACATAACTCTTTTTTCCCCTTTACATAACTATTTCAAAATAAAACCCTGTGTAGAAGAAAAATACTGTTTCTGTCAAGATAAAATAACCAGAGTAATTAAAGCATTCCTGCCACCTATCTTCAAAACCAGCATCTTATCTGTAAGCCTCCTTTCTTTCCTCTACTGCCAATGGAAAGAGACAGACTCTTCCTAAAGATAATTCAGACACTGGGTGTAGCCCCCTGTTCATACTGAATCTCCTTCTAGAGGAGCCTTGCCCTGTCCCATGACTGCATAGGAAATTTAGGAGGCTGGACTTAACTGACATCTCCTAAAATGAGAAATGTAATTTAGAAAGCTAAAGCTAGTATTGTAACATTGTTATCATTAAACAAGGTAACACTTGGATAGAATTTCAAGCTCTGTATAAACACATTATCTTGCCAGGTAAAATAAGAAAATAAAACTTCATGCTGTATTTTATATTGAAATGAGTAGAGGTTCAAATGCTGAACAACTGGCCACAATGGCCTAGAACTGGCAAAATAAAAGCGTGCCCTTCCAAAAGCCAAATTGCAAAATATTTCAAACTTTACCTGACCATCCTGCGAAAGCCCTGAACTACATTTTGCAAGGTCTTCTTTGAGCTTTTTAATCTCTCTTTTCAGCTCAGCGTTTTCTTCAATTAGTACATGGAGTTCTCTCTACAGCCAAAAAAGTATTAAATGCAAAATTAAACACATAGAAGACACAAATGTATTTCAGCAAAATCTGTAGACATCAGAAACTGTTTCAACTTTTAATTATTCTACATGACAGCCGCGCACAATGCATTTTTTGCATAGCTTTAACTATCTGCAAGGTAAATTCACTCACTGAGGAACAGTTTCAGTCAAAGTAAATTACAGTAAGAGGGTTTTTGAAGAGAGGCATTAGTGTTTCCAAGCACCAAGTGTACCATAAATTGCACAGCACTTTCCATAGTTATGTCAGTTCCTTATACATGCAAGGTCAGAGCCTATGTCAACACATAAACATTTTATTTTTTTATACCATGTGTGATCTTAGTAACTGTTATTCCCTTTTCTGAAAAGTTTACCAGGTAAGGGCAGTTTCTAACAAACTGCTACTCTTCCCTCTTTATACTTCAGCATGAAAGAGGGAACACCTCTTTTACCTCCTCTTCTACCTCCTATTTGCTACATACTTCCTCCACACCAATGAATCCTAAATGGGCATAAAGCCTATGTAACTAAATCCAGTACTTCCTGGACAGGGTACACAACAGAATGAGAAGGAAACACAGCAGATGTAGTCAGCTCCAGCCATCCACAATTAGAAGATGGCTCCTTTAAAGTCATTAACGACTTGAGACATTTAGACCAGTTCCCATCAGCTGAAGATAATGTAAAACAAAAGCTAGAGGATGATAATGACCTCTTCTGGGTATAAAAGCCAAACACTTATGACTGGAGAACCAAAACCAACTTTTGGAAAATCTCATGCCAACCTGAATGTACTTAACCTATTAATTATATTTTAATAGCTTGTAATAGTGAAGCCATAACTTGTCATCAGTGATTTACAGGCCAAACCAAACTTCACTGAAACCACCTCCTTGACAGCTTATGGAAACTTATCCTATTACTGTACCAATGACTACACATGGCATATTGAGGTAATGAACCAATTAGTTCCAGGACCAACTAGTTCTAGAGAGAGGAGGCCTCTTCAAACAGGTTCTGTCTCTTGCCCAGCTCATTGTCACTTAAGAAATGCTAACCCCTTGGGTGCTGTAACATCTTCTAAGACGGGCTGGGAGTTGACAAAGCTGTAGAATCAATCCATTCAATTTTATCTGCATCACGCAAAACTGAAACCCGTCTGTTACTGGCGAATCTTGGAAGAGGAAGACTGGTTTTGTCAGTCTTCATCTTCTATACAAAACAGGTCTCAGTTTTACCTTCACTCTTCCAACATTACCATAAGACTTATTTTATTGCACTGATTCTTAATCTGCCACTGGAAAACTATGTGTAGAACATTCTAGTCATACAGTCTGCAAACCAGTAAAGCCATTTAAACTGAAAAGGAAATATTACTCCTATTTTTTCTAATCAACACCTCCTTCACAACTCCCCAAATACTAACAGTTATGAGTAAGCCTTCTCCATACCTCATGGGTGTCCCTAGACATAATTATGTTCTTATGCCCTTTCTCTTGAAAGTTCTTTAGCTTTATCAGCTCCTCCTCTGCTTTAACACACTCTTCATCAGCACTTAATTTACAGAGAAAAAGGTCAGCTTTTGCTTTTTCAGCTTTTTCAACTCTTTCCTGGATAGTAAAAAGAAAAAGACTTTTAAATTCTTTTTTCTTTCACGGGAACAAACAAAACCTTAAGTAAGACCTTTATTTATTTTTAACACTTTGGCTAAATATTTTTCTTAGACTTACAAGTGTAGTTACCACTGAGATCAACACAAGCATGTACCACTGAAGAATAGAGGACAAGTTAGACAAACATGTTACGATTGGGGGAAAGTTGATTTGGTTTTAGAAGGCTGGACTAAAGGTCTTCCAAGTATCTTTCAGCTAATTTCCACGATTCTATGTGCTTTGTAGAACTTGCCTTCCATTTCTTCAGTTCTCCCTCAAGTCTTTCCATCTCATCTTTTGATGTGCCAAAAGGGTCAGGGGTTGCCATACTCTGGAGACAAAAGAAGAGGCACACACAGGTTTTCCCCTCCACTAGGCAATAACTGAGGCACTTCAAACAATTCAAATGAATCTTCAAAGTAAAAAAAATAAACCCTCTGCAGCTGGATGAAGCGTTTTGCCATGGTAGTTTTCAATGTATGTCCGTTAATGAAAGTCCAATGTATTTTGCCTGTGTGCCCATTTGCTGTTTTTCTCCAGTTACGCAGGCCAGGCACGCGGCGAGTCAAACATTTTGAGAGACCAATTATATTTCATAATTAAACCTTCCTATCTGCATGCCAGAGAATAGCATATACCACATAATTTTTAAAAAATGCATTCAGACACTTAGGCCAAATCATTGAACTATTTCAATGGCTGGATAGGACAAAAATCTAAGAAAATGGATCCTGGTCAGTAATCATTATTTGCTAACTATCCAACTGAAAATATTCACAGGCTAGTATTCTGATAAATAATAAAAGCAAGCTGTCTCTATATTCGTCCATAGGGATCTAAGCCCCTCAAACCCACAAGTGTTTATCTGTATGCTTTCTCAGCAGTTCCTCTAAGAGAATGTATAAAGAATATACAGGCCTAATGAGGAAAAAATTTCAAGACCCGATGCTTCAAAGCTCAGGGAGATTGGACAATAAAAGGTAACAACAAGCAGGAGGAAGGTGATAAAAGAAGCATTTCAGAATTTAAGTACTTCAGGGCAGAAGTTCACAAGCATGGGAAAACTACAACTGGATAAAGCCCAAGAAGACAGACAATCTTCTCTGTTCTGTTTTGTTTCTATGGCTGCAATATTCTGCAGAACAGAAAAAAAAAAAAATCCAAAGAGACCTGTTGAAGCAATCCCTCCCTTTTACTTAAGATTACATAAAACTTGAATGTGAACCATAAAATTTAGGCATGGAAAAGATCTAAATTAGATAATCTTGTCAATTCTCTTGGTAATGCTGGGTATTTCCTAAAAACAATAAAATATAAAATAATTTTTTCCACTATTTTGTCCAGTTTCAAATGCCTATTAAGCAACAGGGAAATCCCCATCTGCATATAACTTAAAACCAGAAAAAAAATTCCTTCGCTCAAGAGATTGAGTGCAGGAAAGTAGAAGGATGCACCTGCCACAGCTGGAAGCTGATAAGAAAGGTTGCCTTTTTTTTTTACTGAGAAATGGTCTAAGACAACAGTTTTCAACCTGAAAGAAGGAAAAAAATAACAAGGAAAACACAAGAAATCCCAGGGAAAGCCCCATCCAAACTACTTGCCGCACTGCAGGAACTGAATCAAGGGAGGCACCAGGAAAAAGGAAATTCCCCTAAGAAACCTCCACAGAGACAGCTGAGCAAGCGAGGTAGGATAGGAAAATTCTAACGGAATCTTTAATGCAGACACTTTGGAATGGGACTCTCCCTATGGCAACAGGAGGCAGGAATGAGGAATGTCCAAGGTATTAAAGGATGGAAGAAGATGAGGCAAGAAGTTTCAGAAGCACTGTCCTAGCAGTCCTACCACAAACCGTCATTCAGAAATACTGTTGTCAAATACAGATTTTTTTTTCCAGGCAGCACATGAGGAAATACTCACAAAACCATCATCTTTTAAAGATAGCGGGGGACTTGTAAAATCCATTGAAACCTGAAGGAAAAGGAAAAAAAATTACAACATTTTGTGTATTGGCTTTTTTTTGCAGCAGAACAGAATACCAGAAAGGAATACCAGAAGCTGTGTTGAGCTAAAAGAATTCTTAAATGTAAACGTTCTATCATTTTATAGGCAAAAGTGACATATATTGGATATCTGAAGCCTCCTTCCTTACTAAGCATAAAAGCCAGAGACATATGTGAGGAATTCTGTATTGCACAACTTAATTTTTTTGTCCTGAAACTTACGTACTTACCTTTACACTACTTTTGTAATGCTACACATGCTTAACATCCTGTATGTTCTGTGCTTCAGAGAGATAACTCTTAATCCTGCTTAACACAAATGAAAACATTTCCTTTACACAACAGACAATGTAAAATCTGGAATCCGTTGCCGCAACGTTTTGTGGAGGCAGATAAAAAGGAATTTAGATAAGGTCATGGGCCGCTGATCCAGAAACAGACGTTAAGGCGCACTGATTCCCCAGCAAATCCAACCTGTGGATGCCGGGGCAGCGCAAGGGCTTCGCACCATGGGTTAGACACGTTCTAAGCAGTGTCATCCACCAACTGTCAAGACCTGAGCAGCGGGCAGCCTGGCATCCTGACCCGGCTGGACGTTTCCGATGCTCTCACCTGGAAATCCTGAGCTTGGTTTTCACCCGACAGCACCGCACCTGTCGCGCTGAAGAACAAGGCTTGAAACGGAGGCCGTCTTCGGTTAACGATCCAGGAATCCCCTTCTGATTTGCGTTCAGTAACCAAAATTTACTGACTTACCTACCGATTCTTGATTTAGAAAAGCGAAAGTAGCGTAACCGATAAAACATCTTCCCTTGGTTTCTCCACAGGATGGCCCAGCCGGCAGCTACCAGGCCAGCCTCGTCCGCTCCGCCATGCCTCCCCTCGTGGTCCGGGGGACCGAAAAGGCGGCTGGCCCCCACGCTCGAAGCTCTAGCAGCCCAACCTCCGGGGCTGAGACCAGGGACCGCGTCCCAGCCACCCCCTCCGGCCACCCCCCCCCCGAGGCCGAACGCCACCAAGAGCCCGAGGCTCGCTGCCCGCCGAGGGCGAGCACCGGGCGGGCACCGGGGCGGGAGTCGAAGCGGCCTCCCCGGCCTGAGGACGCAAGCCGGGGCTCAGACAACTTACAGAAGCCGCGGGTCCCTGCGGAGGCAGCCGGGTTCCCCGCGACCCCTCCGAAATCACCTCCCCGCCGCCACCGGGGCCGCCCGCTTTCGGTTTCGCTTTCCCGCGGGACGGAGGAGGAGCTGGCGGGTCCGGCGGTCTCCTTTCCTCCCCCCGCCCACGATCCTGTCCACTTTGGGGGGGGGGGGCGGGAGCCCCGGTCCCCGCGGAGGCCGCCGCTCCTTTTCCTCGAAATCACGTTGGAGGGAGATGGCAGCGTCCTCCGCCGCCTCCTCAGCGGTGGGGAGCCCGGCCGGGCCGCCTCCCTCGGCGGCAAGGCGGTCTCCCGCCCTTGCCCTCTACCCCATCCACCCCCCCGGAGGGGCGTGAGGGTTGCGCGTCCCACCGTCCCTCAGCTAAACGGCGCGGCGGGCGGGGGGAGGCTGTGTGTGTGTGTGGTGTGTGGATTTCGGCTGCGGAGCCCTGAGGCATCGCTGGTAAATAGCCCGTGGGCAGCACCCGCATTGTAGCGTCCTGCCGAGAAACGGGAAAATCCCGGGGAAGGGAAGGGAGAGGGTGGGTGACGAAAGGCTGCGCCTTCAGGGAGGGCACGAAGGCTCGGAGTCGGCCATCACCTCCCTTCCGTTTCTGCTCTTTTTCAGCCTCTTAACGTGACTGAAAGCTTGACTGGTTTGGCCTCTGGATCTTTCTGTGAAGTAGTGACCAAGGCTTGGCGTCCTCAAGCTAATCCTGGTGAATTTGCTTTATTTATCGTTTGTTTGCCTGTTTTAAACCACATTCTCTGGGACTATGTGTCGCATTATAAGGAATAGGTCTTCCTTCTTGGACGGGCTGTGGTGATAGGCTTAAAACATTCGGTGACAGAACGACCCTTTGCTGATGGAGATGCTGCATTCAAAAAAAAATAATTTCTGGAAGAACCCTTGAAAACCGAGTGGCAGGCGGTGGCCACGCCGCCCTTTCCCTGGGACGGCAGCAGCCCGCCATCTCGGAGGGAGCCCACCATCTTGGGAAAGGGGGATGAGGCAGGGCCCCGGGGCAGGGGGTGGCAGCGATCTCTCATCAAGCAGGGGGCTTCATCCTCCTTCCAAGAGATATGTGGTTGATTTATAAACCTTTCCGTATATAGATTCGTAAAAATGATCCCTGGCAGACATGCCCAGAATTGGGCAACAAAGTCATTGATGGGCAGTCTATAGGCAATGCCAACTTCATTCTGCGCTAAGTGTTTAAGGGCTCTCAGTTTTTTTCAAGTCCTTTGGCTGGCCATAGCATGTGTTTGGTGAGTTGGATTGGAGCGCCGATCTGACAACTACCTCCTATCCCTCCCCCCCAAAAAAGCCCCGTCTTTGGCCAGATCAGTTCCCGGATCTGACTACAACAGCTAGTGCCAACATATGGAAAGAAGGGGAGGAGAGCTTTAGCATGCATATGAGTCAGCTTAGAGAAGTCACAAAATGTGGACTGATGTGAAGTGACATATGGTTGCAAACATTTGCTGTGTTAGCCAGTGGGCACTCATTTTATGAAGAGATTTCAGGGAAGAGCTGCTTCGGGGAAAAAAAACGCTTTGATTTCCGTGATGATCAGTTTGAAGAAGAGAAAGCACTGACTCTTCATTGAAGGGGAGAGTAAAAGGCTTTGGTTACTGAATGATCCTTCTTCATGTAGGTAACTAAGGGAAAGAGTCTCTTATTGATCCTCAGAGAGCTGCTATGACTCACTTTGTCGTGCAGATTATGTTGCTAGGACAGACTGGACTTCTCTTCATGGCAGCTGTCAGGTGGCAGGTACAAAGCATGTGTACTTCAGCATGAGTGGGTGAAAGGAAAGTACCACATGAATCTTTCACTAGTAGCTCTTGGATTCAGGAGCACACAATGCATCCAAGATTGTAGCCAAGCAGTGGGACACAGCTGATTGAATTCAAGACTTACTATCTATTTAGATAATCATAATAGATGCATTGCACTCATGAACAAAATTTAGGCAATGCCTATGTCCTAGGGTGAGAAAAAAATAAAGCGTATTTCTTTCAGGTTTCCTTTAAAACTAAGCTGACTAATCTTTTAAATGTTGCCCTCAAAATTGCAGACAGACTTGTACTCATTGGCCAGAGTATTTTGTATGGTTAGCAGTCAATCAGCGCTGACTGTTAAAGAAATTAATCCTCAAAAAATCAAAATATGCCAAATAGTTGGGGAACAAGTAGAAATTGACTTTGTCACTTAGCAGATGTGGATTTCTACTTTCAGAGAAAAGCAGGAGGAGCTGTATAGCAGCGAAGCATTGTAGTGAAATTGGTTGGGCACTACAGTTGATGAGGCCTGCGCAAGAGCAGCCAGATCAAGGTTTTCAGAACTTTTGCTTTCATTGGCTATACAAAGGGGATCTTGGATTGCACCCTGTTTGGATAGCAATCATCTTGTGCCACTGAATTCAGTGGGAGTTTTACCCATGGGGTAATTATTATGGCAATTTCAAATGTCCTTATCTGTTTTTTAAGATAAGTGGATGAAACTATGACCCTGTATTCAAGATTTTTTTATTATTATTTTATGCCTTGACAATGGATAACTGTGTTTACTATTGCTTTATAAACACAAACTTGGTTACTAATGAGATGAGTAAAAGGGAGAGGTTTAGCTGGAGTAGCCAGGGAGGAGGAGGTGATTATGTTATGACCTAAGTACATCAGATTTCAGATTTAAATGTCAGAGTGGCAGGCTGTTGTCCAGTAACCGTGGTCATGTTGGGAAGTCACTGCTGATCTGAAGGAGCCTTATTTCTCCAAACTCCAGGGAATGCAGCAACGCCAATCTGTTTACATGGCCTGCTTTGGGATTCGAACTGAACAGTGTGTTTGTGATTGTTTGGTGAAGGAAATTTATTGGAGATACTGAACTGTGCCAAGTCCCTTAACTGAAATGGAGTTGACTTGGAGTTGATATGTTAATTGATTTCTATGTGTCGTGAATTTATAGTGTTAACCACATATGAATCAGTGAGAAGGGAAAAGCATTGATTTCATAACTCTGAAGAGTCTAGCTAAAGGGGAAAATCAAGGACTAAAATATAGCATAGAGTACAAGAAGCTTTAAAACTTTCAGGATTTCTCTGAGCAGTCTGCATTGATACCAAACTTGTTCTTCAGGAGTCTGAAAAACTCTTGATGAGCCTAGAAATCTGAACTAGAAGCTTCAAAAGAAAACCATGACCTTTCTGGCAGCATAGGATTAGGACTCATCTACAGCAGGAAATACTCTGATTAATCTGGAAGAAGGTTTACAGCCATAAGCTTACCTTTTATTGGTACCAAAACAACTTGACCATACCTCAGCTTCTGGACAGTAACTGTTAAGAATCTCATGGCATTACCTTCAGAGGGAGAGTATTTGGGGTCTTTTAAAGTTAGAACAGATCCAAAGAGGGAAGTAAATGGAATTTAGGTGCTTAGATCATAACTGTCGTAATGAAAACCCTGCTCAGTGTCCATGTGATCCTTGAGGTACCCCAGCTGCAAAGGAGCCTTGTTCTCCAGACAGGTCTAGTAGCACCTTAATGTTGGCAGTTCTGAGTGCTTTAGCTTGATAATGCTTGCAAGCCACATTCAACCACTGAGGTGTTCTGGTGGCACGTATGGTACTTTCATACTCCAACAGAATCATGTTCCATGGCTGTCCATTTTATTTTGTGCTTTCTTTCAAAACCTGGCCAACAGAGGCTAGTGATGCCTTCCCTGCTTGTCTTCAAGATTTGTAGAGTCTGGAAAATGGTGCATGCTTTTGTAGATTATTAGAGCCTGGAAAAAGAAATAAAATTTCAGATTCTTCTTTAAGGACCTGCTTATGTATTCTGTCCACACATTATCACACAAATACATTCCTTAATAAGCAGGGTACAATCATGATTCCTGTTTATCAATGCTTTTTCTCCTGTGTTCTTTGGTAAGTTTTCACACATTCTGAGAGAGAGAACAGGGACCCCATGTCCCAGAGCAACCAGTATTGTGTAGTCAGAGCACTGTTCCAGCAACTGGGAGAAACAGGTTTGACCTCTCTTTGGTGAACCCAGGTGTCCCAATCCTTTGCACTTTGTCCAGGAGCTAGCCTGCCTAAAGGGAATGATGATTGCTGTACCACCTCCCACCCTTAGTGATCCCTACTCAGTTACTGGAAAAAAAACAACCTATAAACGCCAGGAAAACAGAATTTGTTCTTTCTATCCTTGGTGCAGTGCCAGGCCCTGGAGAGGGGCAGATCTGGATCTTACATTTATTGTATTCTTAGTAAATGTAGGTGATATCTTACGCAGTGCACAGACTTCTAAGCAGCATTGAAAATCACCATGATGATAGTTCTGGATCCCACCACTGAGATACTAAAGTCTGTAGTTCATCAAACCCTGATGTCAAAGGGACACCAGGAACACACGGAAGGTGGTGTCTCTAAAGAAGCTGTCCTATCTATCCTTCATTCCCCTATCCTTCCCGTATCCTGAGCATTTGTGCAGCCATGTGGCAATCTAGACTGGGAAATGGACCAGCTCAAAAACTAACCCTGAACAAAGTTGCTCTTAGCTGGCTCATTTCATTTCATGCTGTGGTCAAAAAACAGTGTGCCATCCCAGAAGGGGGTGGCATGCAGCAGGGTCAGTAGGCTCAGCAGGAGTGAATAACAATTTATTTCAGTGGTGCTGGCAGCGTATCATGGCTTAAAGCACTCATCAAAATACAGCCTCATTGTCTGATGTGGTATAGGGTGCCTCAGTGCCATAGAGGAGGTTCCAGATTTTGTTTCAAGAGGCCTACATTTTAGGCATG